CACACACCTATTTCTGGGTCCACTTCAGACCACTGACATCAGCATCTCTGGGGCAAAGGATGACCACAAGACCACAAAGCCCTAAGAGTCTTTAATTATAGTGCATACACATATACTTTGGCATGGAGAGAAGTAAATATTAATTTATAGGCACCATCTTTCAGTCACTGTTAAGTTAGTCACAAAGAGAAAAAATAAAAACCCTAAAGGGTACAGAAAAAACGACTTTAAGCATTGAATGGAAAGCCAGGTATTCACCAAGAAGCAGCTATAAGTTTGGGAAACGTGGAGGGAAAACAACCAATGAGGAAAGAATCCTGCTATGTAATAAACCTGCGGAGAAAAATGGTGTTATTTGGACTCAAACTGAAGTAGTTCCAGGCTGTATGCTCTAAGGATTTGACATTATTTGGCCACCAAGGAGCAGCGCACCGGGAATGAGGGTCAGCCAGTTGTGCAGCTTGTTCTGGAGGCAGCAGCCCCCGCACGTTGTCCCCTTGGGGAGTCCTCAGCCTCGCAGCCCAGAGAAGGCCACCTGGTGACCCCCAGGGCTCCCCTAGCAGATGAGAGGCCCCCTTCATAGTGGGACTTGGGGGAGGCCGGAAGAAGATAAAGATTTATCTCAAAATAGCTTTTTCTGTAATTCTCACTTTTAGTTACTCTTTTGGTTGGTGGAGGGAGCCTCAACAGATTTGGTTAACATTTGTTAACATGCAAATATGTCACTCTGGGAGGGACGACACATGGTCATCAAAAGGACGAAGCTATCAGTTACACAGCAATGAGGGTTAATGGTGAAAAAGAAAAGGGGAGGGGAAGGGGGACCCATTACAAGTTCCCATCGGGAGTGAGCGGCGTCCTGGTGAGGAGCCCTGGCCTGCAGGGCAGAAGCTCACCCCGTCTTCGCTGAGGGAGAAAGTCCCAGATGGAGAGGGGGCAGCGGGCAGGGGCCTCGGGCCAGGGCAGCTGAGGCTCCTCACCCACTCCCCTCTGCTCCGTGAGCCAGACCTGGCATGGCTTTAGGCAAAAATACACATGAGGTATAGAAACATTTCTGGCCCCTTCATACGGAAGGCAGGCTTTGACTGATTACCTTTTCCTACCCGAACCCAAAGCAGCCTAAAAATACGGTCCCTCCAGCCCCCATTCTCTGCAACTGTTACCTCATGCCCAGCCACTCTTTCCCCCAGCTCATTACCATCTCCCACTTTCTTTAGGGGTGCTTTGAATTAGATGCCGAATCGCCAACAGCACCTTCACATCCTTTACAGCTCTTTCTGGAATACTTCCTCCCCGGCATATGGCAGAACTATCAAGCAGTACTCTCCTCCCTCAATGTTTTTTTTTTTGAATTCAGTGTTTTATTGCTCACTTTAAGCCTTCACCATCAACTTGGACATACACACACAGATTTGCGGTGAGAAACTAGACTAGTTTGCACACAAAGCAATTAAATCTGGCAGCTATAATTCCAAAGAATGAATATTTTCCAGTTGTGGTAGGGGGCCAACCGTATAGAAAAGAAGCCAGCTGTTTCATGTTAGTTCCTGATGGGACTTTTCACACAGATGCTCATGTTGCAAAATTTATTTCCTGTCAGGACGTATTGTGAGAACACTGTGTCGTTTTTGTTCCCCTCTCAAATCCCCAGTTCTTTCTGGGAAAGTAACAATGATCCGTGCAATGGTCATTTAGCCCAATGTGACTGTGTCCAGGTTCAATGCCAACTTTGATATTATAATTTAGCAACTCAATGGATTTCTCCACTGACTGTACTGAATGAAGTATTGTTCAGAATCAGGCTGGGAGGGGTAAGCGTTTAGTTCATTTTACTCAGCTGTGTGGTCACTTGGTATTGAGCACATGCAAACAAGGGCCTTCTCCCAGCCTCACAAAGCCACCATTCCCGTGACTTTCAGTCCCATTTTGGGGGAACTCGGCCAGGCAGGATTCACCTCCTGGAGCTGGCACTTTGGTAACAAAGTGAATATTTAGAATTTCTCACCTGAGAGTTTCCATTTATTTCTAAACTAGACACATAGCCTGCTGAAAGCTTTGGTTAGAGAACTGGGAGTGCAATGTCGCTCATGCACCAGAGGCGTTACCATCCGTCTTGGAAACAGCACATTTTAGAAACCTCCGCAGGCCCTGTCCCGTATCCTCCAATTCTCACTGTGTCTTACGCTGCAATCCTGAGGTTTCGACTGCATTCAATGAACGGTGCTGCACTCAAAATTCTCTCCACTGTTCATGATTTCACCACCCACAGAAAAGCTTAATTTTTTTAAGAACATTTAAGCTGCCTTCTTCAGTTCTGTGACCTGCTATTTTTCAAAGGCACCACAATCCCCCAAATTCATCCCTCAGAAAATGAGAGGGAGGCTTCATTCGAGCACATCACTATGCTGGCTGGGCTGCAGGCTTGTTTGGAACAGAGTCAAAGTTTTTCCATTTGGCAGAAGTGCATGAAAATGGTTGATTCAAAACTACTTTGCTTTTATTTTTTTGAGTTAACATTTATGTTATTGTTTTGGGATATTTATTAAGGGTTAGATCAGAAAACAAGTGTGGTATTTACTCATTTTGTAGCAAGAACATACAGAAAATGGTTGATCTACATTTTTCCCTCTCTAGTTTGGAGCAAAAGTGCCAGTTTGTCCGGTAGGTGACTTTGAAACAGCAGCATTGCCTGGCACAGCTCACTCAGAAGTGAGCCTTCCCATCAGTTTAAAACACAATGTGAATTACAAGCGGAGAAAACATATACAACTTCCCCGGGTGCTGAATTTCCTGGCCCCACGCTTTTAGCTCATGAGGAGTGAAACACTCAAAGAATCTGTTATAAATCTCAAGATGTCCCGTGACCCATGTGATGTTCATTTTACTAAGGAAATAAAATAGAAGTACGCAGAGCAGCTGGAGGAGAGGGGTAATTTGAGGTCATCGCTACACTTTGTCAATTAGTGTGTGAGTCACTCAGACGGAAGTTATACTAGGAGCTTCAGAGGAAGAGTTTACTCTAAAATGCCACACAAAAGGATAAGAGAGAGGTCTTCTCTGAGCAGCGAACCGATGCCTCCAGCCAGGCTGGCCAGCTACGCCCCCATGAGCCAACACTGGCCCACAGCCTTTCTGCATCACCTCTGGCTGCTTCTGTGCCACCACAGCAGAGCTGAGTTGTTGCAGAGAACTTACAGCCCATAAAGCTTACAAACATTTACTAGCTGGCCCTTCACAGATAAAGTGTGCTGACTCTGGCTCTACAGAACAGGCCTGGAAGTTGAGTGTGCTGTATATGAGGGTAACTTAAGGACAGACTGGAAAAGTCATATAGCTATAAAATTTAAAAGCCAACAATAATAAGAGTAATGCTTTCATTTGTAGAGCATCTTTACCTTCTCTAATAGTTTCAAACATATTCTTGGAGTTTGCTTTGAACAATTAGTTAAGTTATAATCTGATCAGAGGAGAGGCCCCTGATGGTTCAGATGCCAAGACTGGGTAGAAGGTAAGTGATTCCTCACTGAATGATAACTGAAGGGCATGGATTTCTTTTAAGGGTGTCTTATACACCCTTGGAGTCCTGTATCATATGTAGCAGATGGTTTAAAATTTGAAAATTTTAGATTAGGTCAGTGTTAAGTGTAATTGTTAGTTTTACACAACTCAACAATTAGCTAAAAATCACATCAGTGTCTAAAAAAGGACTTGGAATAGAAAAAGTATGCAGAAGATGTGACCAAAGTCTAGAATCATGGCAGGTCAATGAGATACAAGGAACATGTTATGTAAACCTGGGCACTGAGGATGTGTTTTTGTCCTGTACTTTTCTTCTTAGTACCCTGATTTTCCCCTGGGAACCACAGCTCTTCAATTCTTAGCTCATGGGGTTCATGTGGGGCTCACTCTACCACTAATTCTGTGGTAGACATGGTCTCCTCCTGGCTAGTGGGAAGACTGTCGCTCTAGCCACAGTGACTTGGTTTAGGGACAGATACATGACCCAACCCAGTCACTGAGAATTAGCCCTTGGACTTTTGTTAGAACTATTGGACACAAAGCCCTCTCCCTCAGATGACAGGGGCTAAGGATTATGTAAGCTTGGAGCTGCCAGCGGGCCCTCTTTGCTGCTACATGGAGAGATCGTGTCTAAGAATGAAGCCAAGAATAGGAGAACCAGGAGACTGTGAGAGGCACTGAGAGAGGAAAGGAGAAAAGAAGGGTGTGAAGGAAAAAGGAAGGGAGGCAGACAGAGAGAAACAACGTAATTTGGGCTTAGAACCAGATTTGCCTAAAGGAATCTGGTGTTTTCTTGTGTATCAGCCAATTCTCTTTTGTCTTTGACTAATGTGACTTGGGTTCCTGTTATTTGAAACTGAAAGAGTTCTGTGTGATATAAGAACATTTTTCTATTGATAAAAACTGACCTTTACCAATAGACATTTCCTTCCAACTGTGGACACGAGCAACTGACAGGACTCAAAGAAATGTCTTCCATCAAAATCAGCTGCAGAGTAGGGCAGGGCACCACCGAAACCACGCCAGTGTACCACTTAATTCCAGTCTTAAAGACCCCCAAGAATGGGACTATCGCTAAGCTTATATAGGATGTTTCTGAGTTTTATTAAGGGAGTTTTTCTTTTATAATGACAAAGCTGGGAATACTTTTTCTTAGTAGCCAGGCATGATATTGGCTTTCCGGAGATTTGTCAAAAATACCATTTGTTGAGGTCCTGTTCTTCACTGTGTTCTACACCGTTCATACACTTTCGGGCCAAATTCAAACACCAATGAATTATGTGTATCAGGTTTATTTTTATTCAAACATGTCTTCTCTTTTATTCCCAAGACATACACCTGTCTGCAGGGCTTAAAAAACACTGCTGAAGAGTTGTTCCGTGACGTTCAGACATTAAATAAACAGCGTTTTGCATTTGAGATTTTTACCACAGAAGCAGCTCGAGTGCCATAAATGTCTATTTCCAGGGTGAGCTACTCACCAGTTGTGCAGTTCGGCAAAGGCAGCTTTGATTTTCTTCACCGAGCTGTCCACCTCCTCCTTGATCATGACGCGGTATCTGGTTAGAGACACGGTGCAGCGCTGCAGATCTTTCACCGACTTCTCAATATTTGGGCCTAAAATTAATGTCAAGGGGAAAAAAAGTGTTTATTTAAGTTGAGCACTTCATCTTTGGGAGGTGAACAATAACAACAAAATCCAATTAACTTACCACCCCCCCACCTCTGCCAATAAAAAGAGATTTGTTTTTGTTTTCCAATGGAAAAAAAAAAGTTCTGTCAAGAAGATGTTTATAACCCTGGGTTTTTAAAACCCAGACTGGGTGGCTTGGACTGAGACTGCTGTGAGTTCCCCCGTGGGCTCTCTGGCCGGGCTGCTCTGGGCACAGGGTCTCCTCGGAAAGGAGGCTCTGATCAAAGGGCAGCTGCGCAGGGTGGCATCTGTCACTGTGAGCACCGCTCTGCGAGGTTAAACGCCAGGGGGCTTCTGGAAGAAATGGCTTGGAGATCAGGAGAGGTACAAACGAGCTAGAGAGCGGCCGAGCGGGGTGCCAGGTACGCTGGCTCTGGCCCCTTGGTCCTGAGCCAGGCCTGTAATTATAGCAGCGGCACTCAACCGGCTCCGGGGGTGCCAATCTTGTGCGATTTCCTGAAACTGTCACTGGGGTTGACAGATAGTGCAAAACAAATCGGCAAATTGTATTTATCCCAACCAGGGCGTGTTTCTTAGAAGAAAGAAATCTCCCTCAAGGAAAGTGAGAAAGTGTATGAAACCAAGGCCAAGGAAATCAGATATAACTGAGGCTGAATGAGAAGAACATTATTTAATCTTCTGAGAATCAGGAAGGAAGTGATTTAGCCCCTTTCATTTTTAATACCAGTGATGTGTAAAGTGTATCAGAGCTTGAGAAATAATAAAAATATAGTGTGCCAAATAACAAAAGCCTCTTTCAGTGTTATATTGTCTGAAAGTTCTAATGCAGAACTGACTTCATGAGAGAAAGATCGTATCAGAAGACCTTCCGCCCCCAGGCTCATCTTTGCTCCAGGCAAGTTCAGAACTTGTATATCAGGCAGACATTCAGCATTCGTTTCTGAAAGAGCTCCAGCATTAACATTTGCTTAATGAGACATTAGGGTAGAAAGTGTCTGTGATACAAATTTATCCCTGACTACAAAGAGAAGAATGGTCACAGAGAGGCAGAGGGAGGGGATGCAATTCCATGTACACAGTTAAGGCCTTTGATCGACCTGGGCGGAATCATATCTGCCTTTCAATGGATGTGGGTCATAGAAAGAAACGCAACTTCAGGTGCATCTCTCTTCAACTAAGCAGCATCTTTCGGAAAGTTCTGTCATCCTGGCACTTTTCTCTGTGTGCAAAATATGTTGAATCATTTGTGCAAAAGAAATCACTTTACCTCTTTTCTTTGCCAGCTCATCTGGCTTTATTTCAAGATGAGCTGCAGGGGCATTGGAATTAACAGGAGATGTTTTTGCATTAGGCTTGCTGGGGTTACAAGGCTGCTCAGCTGACCACTGTAGGCCATCTGACCTCTCTGGTGTTCCATGTATAGGTTTGGGGTTCCCATCTAAGGATAGTTTCTGTTGCAGTGGTCTGTTGCCTTCTGTAAGAAAACACCAAATAATGACTGTGACGTGATAAACTAAAAACATTGAAGATAAAGTGATGGGGGAACGCCAAGATTTTTGTTTTCGTTTCCATGTTGGCAATAACGCCTTTCACTGCAGTCAAGAAACTGTTTTAATAGAATCCCCAGAAGATTAGAAAATATACTAGAAATAGAAAGAACCTTGTACTTGGAGTCAGAAGACCAGGGTGGGTGTTTTGGCTCTGGTAATTATTTGCAGGGTGACAGCGAGCAAGCCACTTACCATTTCTGAGCCTTAGTTTCCTCACCCAGAAAGTTATTAGGAGGCTTACATGAGATGATCAGGTGTTGGTTTTTTTTCTATTCAGTAAAGGCTTAGATGTCTTTAAGTATGATTTCATATTGAGGCTATAAAAATGTGGCCCTCCTATCTCCAACTGCTACATTGATGTCTTGTGGTATTTTATTCTGAATTAATGAAGGCAGAAGAGTGATTGGAGATAGAGTAAGAATGAAGTGACAACAGGTACTATAATCATTTCATCTAATTTACAGGGGGATTAAATCAGGAAACATCATCATAATATCACAACTATATTTAAAATCTTGGAGTCAGATTCTCTCTAGAGCTCTAATAGATGCTGCAATAAATTAGCAGCACGTTGCTTTCGGCATCTTTTAAAGGTAGGTTCCTATTTAGTTATTGCTGGAGTGAATTAAATGGCACCTTAGTGACCTGGAAAGGAAATGTATCACCCTTAACATCTTACTTACAACCAGAGAGAGCTCTGAGTGTGAAAAAAGGGAAGCCAGTGTGCTTCTGAAGGCCAGGTTCTTGGGAGAAAGCTCAGTGTCGTGGAAAGAGTGTAGGTTTGGATGTGGGAGACCCATGTTCTGATCTTCCCTATGTCCTGAGGACCCTGTAGGAATAACTTCCCTTTACTGGCTGACTGTGGCTCACACTCAAACAGGGCACAATGTCATCTCAATGAAGCCCAGCCCCTTTTCATATAGTCACCCTGTCTCACTTCTCTCTACTCCCACGGTGCACTGTAAAAACTTAGTGAGTTATGTTTTAACACAATATGTACATGCCTGCTCCTTGCCTTTGCCTTGAAGAGGCTGTGACTTCTTTGAAGGCAAATATTAAAATATGATACATTTCTGAAGCACCAGTACTTGTGTCTGGCTCAATAGCTATCTGTAGAACTGTGATTGAATTAAAGTTCAATCACTTAAAATGATTTCACAGAAGGAAAAAAAAGAAACAAAAACCAGTTTTCCTGACACGGTCGCAAGTATTACAGAGAATGAACTTGGAAAGTGCAAAAGAATATGATCTGGGTCCTAGTTAATTTGATTTTAGACATTAGCTCATTTATGAGAAGTGTAAAACTGCATCCATCATTCATAACCTATATATACATTTTATGGGCTGAATAGTGAGTACTCTTCGAAATTTACTTAAAGGGAAATTATAGTACACAAGGAAATGATCAACCAAGGAGGTAAACACAGTAATTAAGTACTGAAAACAGCATTTCCTCCAGTAATAAAACATTTAATAGAATTCCCAGAAGATTAGAGAATATACTAGAAATAAAAAGAAACTTGTACTTGGAGTCAGAAGACCTAGTGGGTGTTTTGGCTCTGGTAATTACTGCAGGGTGGGCAAGCCACTTAACATCTCTGAGCCTTAGTTTCCTCACCCAGAAAGATTATTAGGAGGCTTTAGTTATACTAAAGTGGAAGTTCACTCTGGTCAGTGACTGTCAAACTTTAGTGTGCATGAGAATCCTAGAGGTTCTGATTCAGCAGAGGGCCCAGGATTCTACCTACTAGGGGATTCTGTTGGGGTGGAGATTTCCGGTACCACCTACCTGGAGAAAAGCTACTGTGAAAGATGAAAAACTAATTTTTTGATGTGTCTGTAAATGTTTTGTTAAAACATTGATTAAGTACAGGCTGGTTCCAACTCCCTCTCTAAATCACAGTTAAGATTCAGCCTTGATGAAATATTATAAATTGAGAATCTAATATATATCTCATTGTGAATAGTGTAGTAAACTAGTCTTATCCTTAAAAATAAGGGGCTTTATATTATAGCCTGATGAAAATAATGACCTAAGGAAAAAAATTATTTTGTTGAATGCAAAAGAATTTTAAACTAAAGACAAGCATGCAAATGAGTATAGGCTCATTAACCTAGAGTTGAAAGTATTTTGTTTGTGTATCAGAGAACTGATGTGTGGGCATTGGTTCATTCCATCATTCATCCAACATATACTTACTGAGAAATTTGCGTAGCAGTATTTTTTTTTGGAGGAGGATCCTAAAAAGCTATCTCATTATTGGTGGGATCACTGAACACTGGGATGATCTGAAGTTCTCAGAGACTACTTGAATGTACATATCTTTTTCCAAATATAGTAAAACTCTGGAGTTAGTCAGCTATTGCAGAATTAGGTTCATCTTGACCTCAAATTCTGATATTTCCAGCAATGAGAATAATGAGAGTTCTCTCTTGGATATTGCGATTTTTCTCTAACATTACAGGCCAGAAGTAGCACCAATTCTCCGCCTTTCTGGAATCCACTTGTATACTTCAATAGACTGTAGCTGACTCAGAGTTGATTCACTGGACTGACTAATAAGGTAGCCACTAGCCCATGCGACTGTTGAACACATGAAATGTAGTTTATCTGAATTGGGATGTGCTGTTAAATGTAAAATACACACTAAAATTTGAAGACTCAGTAAAAAAATATCTTTGATAATTAGAAAAAATTGATCACATGTCAAAATGATAATATTTTGGGTACGTTAAGTTAGACAAAATATATTACCCAATTTAATTCAACCATTTCATTTTACTTTTTAAATGTAATTATTAGTATTTCTCTTTTTGTAGCTGTCTTAAAATTTTCTAGAAGGAAATAATGACATCTAAAATGAAGTTTGACTTCCTTCTTTTCAATCTTGCTTACTGGACTGGTTAGGAATGCTAGTATAAAAAATTTTTTTTTAGCATATTTATAATCCTTGTCTACTGACTTAAATAGCTGGGTTATACATGGGTCTACTTCTAATGACTAATTTTTCTCTTCATTATAGGTCACATTTTCTTGCTTCTTCCCAGGTATAGTAATTAAAAAAAATTATTGATTTTTAGAGAGAGAAGGGAGTGAAACAAACACTGATGTGAGAGAAACATCGATCAGTTGCCTCCGCATGCACCCGGACTGGGGATTGAACCCACAACCTGGGTATGGGCCCTGATTGGGAATCAAACCCACCACCTTTTGGTGCCTGGGACGACACTCCAACCAACTATGCCACACTGACCAGGGACATGTATAGTAATTTTTAAAACTGGATGACACATTAAGACATGTTGGGTTTTGCTATTTTCCTCCAGGTAGTTTGATTTCATTCTGATAAATCACTAAAATACTAGATCACACTCTGCTCCCCCCCCC